GAATATAAAGATTGCCTGTAGCACAACCAATACACTGACTTGCATATGCGTTGCCTAGCAGTATGGCTTGATCCCCACTGCAGCCCCTCTGGACGCCATCACCATACTGCTAAGTAAAATTCAGGCACATTGCAAGAGCTAGCAGGAAATGAAATCTCCTTCAATTTTGTTTCTGCGCCCATTCTCCACACCCAACCCCCCCAGTCTCCACCCCTGAAAGCAAAACCTGAAGATTTCTTACCACCCACGTCTAATTGGCAGGACATCTGAATTTGAGCAGTAATTTCACTATAAGCAATTCCTACATGAAAAACAGAGAGACACTTTGAAAATCAATTTTTGAATGGAAATATGGATAGGAAGGTAACAACTGCTGGCAACACTTCTCACTTTTAGCTGTCAAACACTCCTCATGAGATTTATAGACTTCTATGAGCAACTCAAATACCAATCATCCCTTGGGGACCCAAGGAACAACATGCTCCCACACAAGTGGAGAAAGTATCTGAGTGGAAAAAGAGAATGCCAAGGATCTTGGAGACACATCCTAATTAAAGTCCTGCCTCAAACCTGGGAACAAAGTATGAGTGACCTTTGCCTGAATTACCTGCAGGATAAACCCAGGTAGAAGGGATAGAAGGCTTTTTCCACTGTAGTTCTTCAATACTTTGACTATGGTTTCAACCAACAGTGTTAAGTCAGGACACAGTACATGTATGCTAGGGGTAAAGAGCGTCAGGACAAAGTCATAGTAACGGCAGCCTGAATCCATTGCTAACAATGTAAATGGCAGATACTGAAGTTATACAACAGCCCTTGCAAGAAAACATGCAGCTGGGACCATCCAGAGTAAAAGCAGTATCTGGCTGAGAGATTGTGTGCTGTTTTGTGAAAGGCGGTTGTACACATTGTTGTGGTGTGCAACACAGCTCATAAAACTTATGAGCTATGATGGACAGTGTGACCTGACAGCTGTTTGTTCAGGTTCATTGGCAAGGTAATTAAAAACAATTGTGCACTTGGAAAGATAACACTTTTATTTCAGCATGTGGACTGAAGGCCAAACTGAATTTGCACTCAGTAATCCACGTTTTAGGAATCTTCCACTTGAAAAAAAAAAAAAGGAAATAAAAGGAAATAAAAAAAACAGCTTGGGGAGAAGAGCAGATCCCAAGGTGCAGTTTCTGGATGAGCATTTCATAATGAAATACTGCAACAATTTACTGTGCCAGTAAACTCTATGTCACTTTTCCCTCAATCACAGGCAGTGGTTCCATGGTGGACAGTAGGTTGGGTTTTAGTTCTTGGTTTGAACTATGTTCCCTTCAGGAGAAGCATTTGGGTGAGCCTTCCTAGAAAGAGGGAGGTAAGGGAGTGCTGGGGGCTGCAGGGGAAGGGAGTGTGAGCAACCTGGGAAAGGCTGAGTGAGCAACCACATAAGCCAGATGTGACAGAAAGAATGTCTCAGTGACTGGAGGAGGCTGCAGTGCCACCAAAACTCTGAAGGTTTCAGAAACCAATTCAAAACAAGCATGGAACCTACCTGCTAGGCCACAGTGGGAAAGCTGTAGATAAAAAATATTTTTAAAAAGAAACTTATTCTGTCTCCCTCTGACATTTTATGTTTCTTTTTCAAAACTTGAATGTCCTACTGTTTATTTTTATAAAATCTAACATTGTTTTTTAATTTTTAAAGTCTTCTATTCTCACAATGAGAGATGATCTCAGCACATTCATCTCAAACCTCTGTTTAGCTTGGTTCCTGTAACATATCAAAGATTATGATCTTATTCAACAACTCCTCTTGCAAGAATTTTACAGACCACAGACTGGCATTTTTGCTTACAGACTGGAACTGTATCTGAAAAGTTAAGCCCCTCAGAGAAAGCATGGTTAAGCCATTGCAAAGCAATTTTTATTATTCACACACAGCTGAAGTCTGTGTTATCGTCAGAGAATAGAGCATAACTCCTGCAAGTATCTTAAGCAATGAATGATCGCTTAACACTACAAAGGACCAAACGAACCAAAAAGTATCTACTAGGCTGTTTAGGCATATATAAATAGGACTTTAATTTATATTTTCAAACAAAAGTGAAAGCAAAAGGACAAATAGTTGGAAGATGACAAAATATCTATTTAGAGCTAAGTTCTCTAAATTTTCTTTCAGTTCTGCCTAAGTTTTTATTCAACTTCCCTAAACAGGACTATGGAAACAGTAATATATCAATTTATCAGAAGTGGTATATGATGTTTATCAGTGGGGTACTGTCAAACAGAGGATATAAAGAGAAGAACATATTTGGCAGTAGTAGATGAAGCTGAAGGGTTAAATAGCGCAGTTCGGAGGGATCAGATCTGAAATAACTACTGGAATAACCAGTGTAAACCAATAAAAGCAGTCATCAGTCTGAGGCCAATGCTTATGGAAGTCAACAAAGTTCTGGCACTGAATACTTATTTAATAAATGCAAAATATTACAAGAGGCAAGGGATTTAGGAGCTCCACAGCATAGGGAAAAATACTAAACAGGTAGTATTCTATGCTTCATATGCTATTGCAAACAACAAAAGTCAGCACCATAGCCAGCACATGAGAAGAAATGCAAAACATAATTTTGCAAGCATCAGTAAAATGAGCAAAGAGAATGAAAGCATCACTAGCTCAGGTAAATTTTTCAAGAAGTGGATACTGCAGTAGGAGTTAAAATTATACGTTGAAATATCTTTCTAAATGCAAACATTATGAGTGAATTTTCAGCCGGACATGGGTATGCAACCAATAATACAAAACGGTGTTACTAATAAAAGAAGGCAAACTACATGCATTAGAGACCAGAATGTGAGGACAAGGAATACTAGCTACATATTTAAAGGCTGATGTCAGTTACCAAACTTGCAGTAAGACACAGGGGACAGAATATGCAGAACATATGTAGAGAATACAGTAGTATATGAAGCAAAACAGCCAGAGTAAAAGATAATTTTCAATCTGTCCATCATGGGAAAGATCTCTTAATTTCTTTTATGAGTAAAAAAAAAAATTGCAGACTTCAATATTCTCACTGTTAGACAGGGGATGTCAAAACTCATACACATAGACATACAATGCCATTTCTTTACTTTACCTATTGAAATACCCTGAAGGAATATAGTATCTATCTATATTACATCTATCCTCTTATCTAAACAGATTACAGGCAGTTAAAAAAGAACAGGAAAGACTGAAGGAAGAGAGTTTCAGGATACGGTGACCAGAACAAGTGGAATTTATTTTTAATAGCTGCAGTGTTTGTTTAAGAAGAAAACTCTTAGAGGTCCAGGTGCAGCATACCTCAGGGCCTGATCGGGCATTCATCTGAAAGTAAACTTTCAGGTGCAGTAACAATATTTGTAATCGTGTTTTATGCCATTGATTTAAGAGTTGGTGAGTTAAGTTTTGGTTGGGGGAGGAAGACATAGTAACACAGATTGTGTCTCTCCATGGCAGAGACCCCAGGCACAGGGGTATCACTATCATACACACTAGTCAGCATGTTGTTGAAGACTAAAGTGGTTGTTTCACAGGTGCCACAAAATATCATCCCTGAATGATGAAAGGGAGGCAGGGTACTCTCAGTTTACATCTATACCTGAGATGAACAGACCTCATGTCTCAGGAAACAAAGCTGGTAAGCAGCTGGCATTAGGAAAACTTCTCCCATGGTTAAACTCTTCCATGGTTTTGTGCCTTTGAAATGGCACAAAGTAATTTATGCTATCCATTGAGACACTTGGAAATTTTTATACTCAGAAAGTTGGCCTAGGTGGTTCATTGGTTTGTTCCACTATCATAATTATAATCATTAAGTTATAAAGACACTGTACAGATTTGTGAAAAAACTGTGTTGAGCCAGGTCCAAACAGGCTGGACAAGGAGGACCAGGACTAAAGCAAGGACTGAGGTGTTCTGCATACTTCTTCCCAGTTTAAGGGGGTGCTTTGCCAGGGAGTTTTCTGGGTAGGTAACTATGGATCAGTTCTTAAGTGCCAAAAAGACATTAGGACAACTAGAAAGATTTCAAAAATATTACATTAGTTATCTAACTATGCAGATAAATGTTTAAACACTTTAATGTCTAAAAAAAACCCCATAATCTTTGAGATTTATGTCTCAATTTTTCAATTACTAAAATGTTTTCATACTTCATAATTGTGTCCAATCACACACACACAGAAAAAACCACCATTTCAGGTTGCTACAGTAAAATTACCTGAAAGCTAAGAAAAAGATTAATTGGACTGCTTTTTCATTTGCAGGGATATATCACACTCTTAGCAAATTAATGTATACAGCAAAATAAAACCCCATTGATAGTGCCCACTGTGATTGTTGAGTTTGTTTCATCTTATGTATAATCATCCTATTGTACATGAGTGGGCGTGGGTGATTCATTTGAGCACATGCAAACTTCTAATTTTCAATGTTTTGCCAGGTTGCTGTCAGTGGCACATTCACCAAGATACAAATTTGTGAAAATATTCTTCATCTATTAGACTTCAAAATTATGATAAATATGTATTTTTGAACCTTTTCTAAAAACATAGATTCTTCTCAAAGAGTGGGGAGGATAACATTTTCTTATAAAAGACAGGATTTGCACTATAACTTCAAGTAAAAACAATAACAATCTATAGCATCTATAATCTATAGATAGCAATCTATAATATCGGTATGTAAAAGTCTTGCTGCACAAACTAGAATGTTAGTAGTAATAGTTCTAATAATTTCAATAAGATATTTTCCTAGAACATATGGTGGCTGCAATGAGAGCTGGATTTTAAAGAGTTACAAAGCCTATGAAGATCCAGAGGCCACTGAATTAAAAGACATACAACTTGAGTAGTCTTAAGCTCCTGCAGAGATACTCCATCCACTCAGTGCATCTGCTGTTCCAAAAGTCATTTATATAAGCAGCATCTAGACTTGCATTTACTTTTTTTTTTCCTCAGCTAGGACGTCAGTGGCTGCTGTATGACGTGTTAAGGTCAGCAATGGGAAGAGGGATCAGGTAAAGATCATATTATCATGGAATCACATAATTACAAAATGGTTGAGGCTGGAAGAGACCTCTGGAGGTCATCTGCTTCAAGGCCCCTGCTCAAGCAGGACCACTTAAAGCAAGTTGAACAAGACCATGTACAGATGGCTTTCTAATATCTCCAAGAATAGAGTCTAAAACCTTTCTGGGGAACCTGTGTCAGTATTTAGTAAATGTTGAAAATTTTAACCACTGAAATGGTAAACATTTTCAGTTGTTTACAGTGAAAATGTGTTTTCTGAAGTTTAGACAGAATCTCCTGTGCTGCAGTTTGTGCCCATTGCCTCTAATCCTGTCATTGGGCATCAATGAAAAGACCCTCTTTGCATCCTCCCTGCAGGTATTTTGATACATCAATAAGATCCCTGTTGAGCCTTCCCTTCTTCAGGCTGAATAGTCCCAGCTCTCAGCCTTTCTTCATAGGAGATATGCTGCAGTCCCTTCGTTGTCTGCATGGCCTTTCATGGCCCTGGCCTCCAAATAGACTTTGTTTCACTAATCACCACTCTCTGGGCCTGGCCATTTAGCTAGTTTTTAATCCATCTCACGGCATCCTCATCCAGTCTTTATATTAACATCTTGTCTACAAGGATCTTATGGAAGACAGTGTCAGAGGCTTTACTGAAGTCATGTAGGCAATATCCATTGCAATGATTTTCTCATCCTAAATGTGGCTGGAAATGGTTTTCAGGACTAGCTGCTTGATCACCTTCCCAGAAATCAAGTAGATCCACAATAGTTGGGTTATATATGGATATATTGGTTTGAAATGGTTTAAACGTATTATGGCTTCAGCAATCTTTGGCGAAAGACTCCATAGGTATTCCAAACACAGAATAAAGTCAGTAGCAAATGAGCAAGGAAAGAAAACACATTGTATGAGTCTACTTCTTTGCTGCTTCTGAGTTCAGTACAGGAGAGTTCATTGATTGGACACTACAATAGGATTCATTACATACACTACAACACGTCTTAGCCTTTAAAAACTACCTTATGCATAACTTTCCTTTCTCCTACCACTCTGTATTTCCAGTTCAAAAAAAAGGAACAACAAGCCATATACCTGCAGTACTTCAGGTCTGCTCTAATTTAACTAGGCCCTTAGAGTTAAACACCATGTCACACATTCTGGTGTTTGGCCATCCCTGTGTTTTTCACACAGCGCAGAAAGGCTAATTGTTTTGCTGAGGTAATGTCATGTGCCAGAAGTGGCTGGGAAGGAGTCAGATAATTAACCAAGCTCCTGCTGAGAATGTAGACCTTTTCCCTTTTATTTTCCTTTTCAATAGGTTTCTTTTTTTCTCCCCTCTCAGAGCCATTATTAACTTTTCCTTAACTGTTATAAATTGCAGGGAGTGGACAATCTGAAACCTAACACATGGAAATGAAAGGAAAGGAAAAAAGAAATTATTTTCTTAAAAAAAAAAAAATCGTGTTCCATAAGAGAATATTAGAACTATGTAGGCGTAATCACAGTAAAAACTTTGTGGTTTATTAAAAATAAATCTTGCTCAAGGCATCCATTACTCATTTCAGCATTAAATAGCAAACTTTCAAGTTTTAAAGGAATAAGGACCCTTCAGTTGGACTGTATCTGACAGCTGTCAGTAATATGGCAACTTTTCGATATTTATTTTGCAGCTTTTATAGATATTTTATTGCTATTTTTTGGACAATCATACCCCTGCCCCAGATCCTGGTATCAAAAGAATAGATGTGGATGAATACCCTTAATGAAGTTGTCCTTTTTGTAGGTGCTGTTTCCTTGCTCCATGCATAGACACCACAGTTGTTTGTCGCAAGCTTGGATTTTGTAATTTTCTCTTTCTGAGTTTACCTAATAGCTCCACTAGACTTTCTTCCAGGCCTGAACTGCTCCTCATACTAGAAGGCTGAGAGGATACCTACCTTCTGGCAGGCATCAGAGCCCATCTGGAGATACAAATGGGAGATTCCCACACAGCACACAGTAACACTTATGCCAGTTTCTTGTCTGGAGGGTGAAAGAAGCACCTGTTCTTCATTAACATCACTGCTATGGCTAATACATTGCAGGTGTTAAAGTGTGTAGCTGAAATCTCACAAAACACCTGCCTTTCATAACAACACTAGATCTGTCTAGTGTGGGACGCTATCCCCTCAGGTATGTTTTATCCTACCTTGAAAGCCGTAGTATGCATTGTCCTGTAATTATGAAATCAGAGTCATCATTTGCTGGGAAGAATTCTTTAACAAATTACACCTAATTACTCTAAAATTACCTTTAATCCATGGTAAAAGCATGGCTAAATGCTATTCTATAACACCTTCCTTTTTATCTTTATGTAAATATGATTACACACTATCAAACTGGCACAACCAGTCATAATAAACAGCTGCAGCTAGTTCTCTGGTTAGTAAATAAGAACTGGACATGTGCCATAAATTGTGTTTTCTGGAATGCTGAACAAAAAAATTGTCCCGTTCATTCCCTGACAAGACTAAGTTTTGCACTCCCACTCAATCCAGGAATGTTTGAATCTGAGGTATTTGTTCAGTCCATTATACAGACCAGAAACAGCAGAGGATCTGTCTCTGAATTTCTTCAAATACAGTGAGCATGTGGAGCAAGAGTTTGAGTTTATATCTCAATTTACTACCTCAGATGGCCAAAACACAGCTTACAGATCTCGCTTAATTAATTTATTTCTGAGTAAGACACAGATTTATAAATGTATACAACTCGCCCAATTTTTTACTGTTCATATTATCAACTTCAGACAAGGTGTCCATGTATATAGGCTGGGAAGATAAAGTATTCAGAAACAAAACCTAATATGGAAATGCAAATTATTTCACTACATAACTACACAAAAAAAAATTACTTATGAGAATTTTTTTTTTTTCAAATAGTATCTTTTTTCAAAGATAATTTATTGCCATATCATAGGTCATCTTTGTACATGATGGACTTCTTTCATGTCTATCATGAATTGAAATTAGGGTATCATAAATTATTTTTTCCACTTTGCTCTCTTCTTCCAATCACTTTGCCATTTAGAAAAAAGTTTTAAACACTTTTTCTTGTAAGGTGACTAATTAATATAAATATAAGTCCCTAGTAGCGCTCACACAAAAAACAGCAATGTTGAAGTTGGCTGTTATACGTAATAGCTGCTTATTTCCTCCAGACAGATGTTTTCTGCAGTGGAGACAAACCTAAGGCATCCAATAAGATGCTTTCTTTTCCCCTTTCCCCATTCCCCTTTTCCCGTTTTCCCCTTTCCCCCTTTCCCCTTCCCCCTTTCCCCTTTCCCTTTCCCTGTTTTTTTTTTTTTTTGAGTAGGTTGTGGGAAATGTACTTTATGTTTAAGCAGTACACAGTAAACCAGGATCTCAACCATGAGCATTACTGAGGCATTACTTCAGGCATTACTGAGATACAAAGAATCTTCATACTTCCAGGAATTTCTGATATATCACCTTTAGCAGCAGTTTTTCATTAGGAGTTGTCTCTTCAGAAGGTTCTCTCAGAAATTTAGAAAAATACAGTCACAAAGCAGTTAGACTAGCAGCTAGGACTAGACAATGTTATTTTATTGTTCACCATTTATTCATTTTAAAAGAAAAATTTTTAGATGTCTCTATGGAAAGCATACTGAACTCACTCTAAGCAGTTTTATTTATGGGGTTTCCCTTTTCCAGTACGAGATGCAACTGGTGGGCCATAAATCAATTTTCAGATTTTCTTTAATGAAAACATTCCCTTCTTATTTAAGGCTTCCAATGCAGGATCATATTCCCTTCTGTGTAGCAAGACTGTCTGCTTGTTAAGCTCAAAGAAATAGACTCCTGAACTATTATAATCACAATCTACCAGTTCCCTAAATGTTTTCAGCAGTTTATTGCTAATTCAAATATTTGTTAAAATGTGGCCTCATTGTGTAATGATTATCAAGCTTTAAAGTAAATTATATTTTCAATATTTCAGTATCCTGATATGGCAAACTTTATATAAACGTTGCTGAGCAAAAAAATCCCTCAACTTTTGTATTAAGTTTTCAGCATTCTTACTGAAATAATACCTTCATTATACAGCAACAGAGCTGCAAAGCTTGTAGATGTGCTTATATGCAGCATTTTTATAGTCTTAATTTTCAGAGTGTGCATGAATCCTGTTTCTTTGAGCAGGTGGTAGAAGAGAGGCAATGAAAAAGGATCCAGTTGCATATAAGAAGCAACTTTCAAAAGGCCTCTGTTAAGCATTTTGACTCTGTTAGGTGTAGTTCAGACTCAGCGACCCCTTTCCTACTACAATTTGAGCCATTCAGCTGTGAAACCTCCTATTCAAGCTCATTATTAAAGACAGTGTGGTGTATAAGTAAAGGCTCTCTGGAATGGGAGTGCTTTCAAGTTTTCATTACACCAGTATTGTTCTGGGCAGAATTATCATATAGTAATTTTTTGCTACTTTTGTGGAAAATTTTGCCCTGGATGCTTACATACCAAGACCCACTAATAATCAAGCCATTAGCACCTTTGCCCACTGACCTGCAGTTGTAGATGGGCCAGCTGTAGCATAACCACAACTGCTTCCTTCTTACCAATTCTGTGTTCTAGAGCCAAATCCAAAGATCCAGTCCACCCTGAAACCAAAAGTACTCTGACATATTTCCTGGCAGCACAGGAATCCAAATGTACTTCCTTAGCAGTTATATGTAAGGAATTTGTGCCCTTCTTACCATTTCCCTCTATGCTTGTACTCTGCTCAAACACACACCAAAGCAAGCCCTAGAAGAACTGTCAAGACCTGTAGGACAAACCTTAACAAATTTGTTCTGAAACAGTTCTCTTTTTTCATACAAATATGGCCTTTCCTTTTTTCCTCGGCATCCTTATATGTCTTTAACCTGCTTTTTTGATCACTCCAACAGATTCTGATTGATATTCCTGGTCATTTTAATTTACTTTCTTTTAGTGGAAAGGTAAAGAAAGGATTATAGCTTCCCCCCAAACAGCAGCTAAATTGCCACTAAGTAATAAGTATTTGAGAACACCAAATATTTTGGGGCCCAAAAATGGACCTAGAGAAGAAATATCTGTTAGGTACAGATACACATAAAATCTGAGGTGAAGAGAGCACAAGTTTAGTGCCTCTTCAAGGGGAATGGTTGGTAGTCCAGCTGCCTGTTCAGAGAGGCCATAGCTGTCCCAGCGGGCTAGCATATATGTCAGTCTAGACCAGTGCCCCTGCCTGCTCCTTCCACCCAGTCAGGTAGAGATATAGGTATCACATGCAGGATACTGGAGATGCAAAAGGAGTTTGAGGTGCAAAAAGGTTTAAGGTTGATAACTGAGGTTATGGTGGTGTCATTATGGATGTTAAAATAGGACTCAAATTCACTGAAAACCAGACTTCGTTCATTTTGTTACTTGCATACTGTGTTTGATATTCTTTATAATTCACCCTATATCTTTAGAAGCATTCTTTAATGACCCTAATTTAATCATGATGGACCTTCTCCCAAATGCTTTAAAAATGACATAATGTTGCAGTTTATAATAAACTCGGAGAAAAGCACATGCAAGTAATATCAAAATAGTTCATATTAGCTGCAGTACCAAAAATATAGTTTCTAAGTAAAACCACTCTTAAGTGTGTGTTTTCATGTGTATTTATATGACCATATATTATGCCAGAGGAAATTATTTAAAATGAGACAAAATAGTAAACAAAGCCCAGGCCAAAGCAGTAAAAGAACTGTACGGACTTCTTTAGGAGAAAAAAAAAAAAGAAAGAAAAATAACCATATTTATGTCCATATAAATTCTGGACACTTGAATAAAATTTTTATGCAGCATTTTCAAATTATAAAATTATCTTTCTTTGTAAGGTAAGTGTGAAGTTGTTGGAGGCTTTACAGATATACATACTGTGGAAATTAATACATCACTTACCCAGATCTTTATGTTTTCAGTCTGAACAGGTATTCTATCATAGAATGCCTTATGACCCATTCTCAGCACTAGTTGGTCAAACACTGCAGTACCACAGGAAACAGGCACTCATGAACTGATAAAACCCTTCTGTTCCCCAGGCTATGCAATTAAACAAGAGCTGTTTTCCAGTCTGGAGCGATGCTATAATTTAGTTCTACAAGCAGAATGTTCCCATTTCATGGGAAATTGTATCTATTCTTTCTTTATTCAAGAAAGACAGTCATTGGTTTGAAAGGTCATAATTGACTTTGGAGAACCCTTGAAAGGTTCTCAGTCCTTTTAACCATCCAGAAAGCTGTAAAGGTTTTTTGAAGCACAATGACTTCGGTCTTCATACTGAGCAACAGAAATTTAATCAGGGTACAAATCATCTCTATTCATTTTCTGTTTGCTTCTAACTGAGCAGCATTATTCTTCAGCCTTTTATGTGAGTGCACCATAGAGGTATACCTATTTTCAGTTCCAACTGCAGCAACCCACTTAGGCTAATATGAGGAAATCACTTGTTCCAAAACAGGCATGGGGAAGGACTTGAATGCTTGTCAAAGATCCAGGTAATTAATGTTAGAAAAGGACACTAGTTCTCCCAAGCAGTGGCCTTTTCTGCTTTTTTATCTTATTTTCTTTATACAGCAGTGACTCATCCTTGCCATCATTAACATACGGAATGAGACCTGGAGCAATAAAACCCTAGTACCATTTAACTATTAAGAAATGTCCAGTAGAAAATTGCTGTGCTACTGTCAGCTTAGTGCCCCTTTCTCAAGTCACAGGGTTTTGATGCAGAAGATAGAAGGAGTCATATTTCCCTTCAAGGAAAATGCCTGTTTCCGGTAGTCTCTGTCAAATTAAGGCAGGCTTGGATGACAGAAAAAAAAATCGAACTTGATTTTGTTGTTGTTGGATTATAATGTCATAACAATTCCTACAAAAATGCAAGCAATTTCACAGAAGACTTCAAGCTGTTCACTGGGTCTTGCTCTTATGCAGGCATATGAACAACATAAACATATATAAGTGTGTGCAAGTGTATGTATTTTGATTTTGTATGCATTCATACATATATGTATTTAAATCTCATCACACACAAATGCACAGATGCGCAGCTCTGAAGCTGTGAGTTATCATACTGTTGCTTTGCAGAGAAAGGAAGGGAAGACAGCCTCTATCTCCCCTGTCTTACACTTCCTGACACATTTACTTTGATCCTCCATGGTTCCAAGAGCTACTTAAGCCAATAACAACTTAATAACTAGTATTGCAATTAGCTGAGCTTGAGCTGATGTTTTGGCAAGTTGTTTTCATACTCCAGCTGAGTCAGGAAGATTTTCGAGGTGGCTTTCACACAAAATAAAGCTATTCAGAAATGCACAGAAGGGCATTCTCAAAACAATTCCAGTATTTTCCTAGTAAAAAAGTTTGCGTCAGGATTTATCTCATGTCTCCTTCACCAGCCCACTGTGCTCCAGTTCAAAATGCCCTGTG